TCTTTTCTTTTTTTTTTTTGAGACGGAGTCTGGCTCTGTCGCCCAGGCTCGAGTGCAGTGGCCGGATCTCGGCTCACTGCAAGCTCCGCCTGCCGGGTTCACACCATTCTCCTGCCTCAGCCTCCGAGTAGCTGGGACTACAGGCGCCGCCACCTCGCCTGGCTAAGTTTTTTTGTATTTTTTAGTAGAGACGGGGTTTCACCGTGTTAGCCAGGATGGTCTCGATTTCCTGACCTCGTGATCCGCCCGTCTCGGCCTCCCAAAGTGCTGAGATTACAGGCTTGAGCCACCGCGCCCGGCCAAAAAGGTGTTTTAAATACGTACTGATAAGAGAACAGTTCCCTTATTCGGGAGATGTTTGTAATCTAATGCTAAGTGGGCAGGGAGAAGGATATTACATTGTTTATATATTAAATTATGTTTATATGAAAATTCAAGGGAAAAATAACAAAATTAGCAAAAATCAGTTGGTGGACAGGGCGAACTTTTTTTTTTTTTTTTTTTTTTTGCTTGCTGTCTTTCCCTTTTTCCTACATTCCAAGTGTTTTGTGATTTCATTTGCTTATTTAAAAAACCTAAAAATTAAAGACATTTTCAGAACAAAATAATACAAAGTCCATTTAATTTCATCCACCACAAACATTTTTGTTTTTTTATGCTTATAACATAATTTATGTTCATTGTGCAAACAAACATGAGATGTTCCAAAAAATATAAATGAGGACATTAAAAATTACTGTAATTCCAAAATCTAGCTATATTCTCTATTAACATTTTGGTGTACTTGCTTTCACTCTTTTTTCTCTTTTCCTTTTTTCTTTTCTGTCTTTTTGTTTGTTCTTTTGTTTTGTTTGAGATACGGTCTCGTTCTGTCGCCCAGGCTGGAGTGGAGTGGCACGATTACGGTTCACGGCAGGCTCAACTTCCTGAGAACAAGCAATCATCTTGCCTCAGCCTCCCGAGTAGCTGGGGCGACAGGTGTGCACTCCTGCACCTGGCTATTTTTTTTATATTTTTTGGAGAGATGGGGTCTCACTGTTACCTAGCTTGGTCTTGAGCTCTGGGCTCAAGCAGTCCTTCCACCTTGGCCTCCCAAAGTGTTGGATTATACTTGTGAGTCACCTCACCTGGCTACTTTCATTCTTTTAAAGTGGTGTTTGGTGTGATTGGAATTCTAGTATATGTAGAGTTATTTTTTTTTCTTTTTCTTTCTTTTTATGTTTTTGAGATGAGATTTCACTCTGTTGCCCTGGCCTAGCTGCCGTGAAGTGGCATGATCATAGCTCACTGCAGCCTCAGATAGAGGGCTTCTTTTTTCTTTTTCTTGAAATATCATGAGCGTTTTACATGATGTGACGTTTGTTGAAATATTATTTGTAATGGTTGCTTAGGAGTCTTCAACATGAATATCCTACAATACATGTCATAATTCTACCATTTTGTCAATGTAAGCTGCTTTCCGTGCCTTGACTTTTACAAATCGTGTTGCACTGAACACCACTGTACATAATTTTTTTTTTTTTTTTTTTTTGACACGGAGTCTCGCTCTGCCGCCCAGGCTGGAGTGCAGTGGCCGGATCTCAGCTCACTGCAGGCTCCGCCTCCCGGGTTCCCACAATTCTCCTGCCTCGCCCCCAGTAGCTGGACTACAGGCGCCCGCCACCTCGCCCGGCTAGTTTTTGTATTTTTTAGTAGAGACGGGGTTTCACCGTGTCAGCCAGATGGTCTCGATCTCCTGACCTCGTGATCCGCCCGCCTCGGCCTCCCAAAGTGCTGGGATTACAGGCTTGAGCCACCGTGCCCGGCCTGTACATAATATTTTTACTTGTCTTTGATTATTTCCTAGAGATGAAGTCTTAGAAGTGAAATGATTCGGTCAAGGGGCAAAAAACTTTTATTTTATTTTATTTTTGAGACAGAGTCTCATTCTGTCGCCCAGTGTGGAGTGCAGTGGCACGATCTCGGCTCACTGCAACCTCCACCTCCCAGGTTCAAGCAATTCTCCTGCCTCAGCCTCCAGAATAGCTGGGATTACAGGTGCGTACCACTACACCCGGCTAATTTTTGTTTTTTGAAGTTTCACTGTTTGGCCAGGCTGATCTGCAACTCGTGACCACAGGTGATCCATCTGCTTTGACTTCCCAAAGTGCTGGGATTACAGGAGTGACCCACCACGCCCAGCTAGTAAAAACAAACAACAACAACAACAAAAAAACCTATATATATATCTATAGAAATGCCCTTCCTGTGTTTTGAACTGCCTGACCAAGAGGTGTCTTAAATTTATGCACCTATGCTCAATAAAAGTATCTTTTAATTCTAAAAAAAGGGGAAAAAGAGCTTAAACTATTTTAAAAGGTAAGAAATGCATCTCATTATTCTTTCTGAGCATTGTTTTGGTTACTAGTAAGGCTGCATCTGCTTTCCCTGATAAGCCAGCCATTGTTCTTTCTGTGAATAATGTTTCAAGTATTTTTTTTTTCCCCATTAGGATGTATTTATTTCTTATCCATCTAAATAAACTCTTTACTGGAAATATTATTTCTTTAGTTACAATATTTATGACAAATATTTCCCCATATTGTTCTTTAACTTTAAATTGTGTTTATTATCACTTTTGGTACACACAAGTTTGCATTTTCACATAGTAAAATGTTGGTTTTGCTTGCTGAGAATTCCTTCATGACTTTTATGTGTTAAAAGAGCATCTTCATACTTGTCTGAATGTTCCACCTAGATTTTTTTAATGTACTTTATTTTATTATTTATTTATTTATTTATTTAGAGATGGAGTCTCGCTCTGTCGCCCAGGCTGGAGTGCAGTAGTGCGATCTCAGCTCACTGTAAGCCCCACCTCCCGGGATCACGCCATTCTCCTGCCCCAGCCTCCCCAGTAACTGGGACTACAGGCGTGCATCACCGCGGATGGCTAATTTTTTTTTTTTTTTTTGTATTTTTTAGTAGAGATGGGGTTTCACCATGTCAGCCAGGATAGTCTCAATCTCATGACTTCGTGATCCGCCCACCTCGGCTTCCCAAAGTGCTGGGATTACAGGCACAATGTGCTTTATTTATTTATTTATTTATTTAGAGACAGTGTTTTGCTCTTGTTCCCTAGGCTGGGGTGCACTGGAGCCATCTCTGCTCACTGCAACCTCTGTCTCCCGGGTTCTCCTGCCTCAGCCTCCCAAGTAGCTGGGACTACAGTCATGTGCCACCACACCCAGCTAATTTGTATTTTTAGTAGTGACGGGGTTTCTCCATGTTGGTCATGCTGGACTTGAACTCTCGACCTCTGGTGATCCGCCTGCCTCGGCCTCACAAAGTGCTGGAATTACAGGCGTGCGCCACCATGCCCGGCCAATGTGCTTCATTTTTTTAAGTTAACTCTTTAACTCATCTGGAATTATTTTGATGAATGGTGTGAGGCATACATGGAACCAAGGTTTTCCCAAACAACCAATTTTCCATTATAGTTATTACTTAATACTCCCTTTCCCCGATTCATTTGTGATTCTTCTTTTTATCTTCTTTTACATGAGAAGGCTTTACATCTATGAGAGTCCATTGTCTGGGCCATTCACTTTATTTCACTGGTCTGTCTCTTCTTGAAGCAACATACCACAATATTTATATTGTCACTTTATCTTTTCATATCTCATGTGAAAATCATTCTTTTTCTTCAAAAACATCTCAGTTGTTTTTATTAGTTTATTCATACGGATGAAAAAGTTTAGGATTTTGACACATTTTACCAGATCTCATGGAATTTTCTTTGGTACTGCACTTGTCCAGTTTTCCAATCCTCAGTCAAGGTAAAGCTGTAGTTTTCTTTATATGGGTCCTGCTCAAATTGTTAGAAATTCCTATTTCTAAGAAATATATTATGACTATCATAAGGCGATTTTCCCATCATCATCCCTGCTCAGGTTACTACCAATTTTTGTTGGAATAACAGAAACTGATATTTTCCCTATTCATCATACACATAGCTACTTGCTGCGATTATGGATTCTAAGAATGTCTTAGGTAACTATTTGGGTTTTCTAGGTGGGCCATGACATCTGCAAACAGTAGTATTCCTGCCTTTTTTTTTTTTTTTTTTTTTTTTTTTTTTTTTGGTATTTGCACTTCTTGCTTCATGTTTTACTGCATTGGCCAGGGCTGGTAGAAAGATGTTCAGTGGTCACGTGAGGTTTTACTACTTACTTTATTAGGAATGCTTTTGGTGTTTCTCATCTGAATTCCGTGATTGCTTAGAGTTTGATATCGCTTTTTAAAAATCGTGTTCAGAAAGTACATCTCATGGAAATGACAAATATGAGAACTAAAACCGACAAATTTCCCCCCAAAATCCCACATGCAAAGCCTCCTGGCCCGGAGTCTCTTGAGGCGTCGGTTGTTTGATGACTTCCTATTTCTTTTCCTTTTTTTTTTTTTTTTTTTTTTTGACGTTGTCTCTCTCTGTCGCCAGGCTGCAGTGCAGTGGCGCGATCTCGGCTCACTGCAACCTCCGCCTCCCGGGTTCAAGCGATTCTCCTGCCTCAGCCTCCCGAGTAGCTGGAATTACAGGCGCCGCCCACCATGCACAGCTAATTTTTGTATTTTTAGTAAAGACGAGGTTTCACCATGTTGGCCAGGCTGGTCTGGAACTCCCGACCTCAGGTGATCCGCCCGCCTCGGCCTCCCAAAGTTCTGGGATTACAGGCGTGAGCCACCGCGCCCAGCTGATGACTCTCCATTTCTTCCTTGGGTTCTTTCGGAGTCACTTTGGGAAATTCGGTTCCATCTGCGGTGGTAAAATACAGGCTCTCCCCGCACGCGGCCAATGGGCGCTCCCAGCGCGGACAGACAGGCCCATTGCGGGAGCGGGGCAGGGCGGAGGGACCCCAGGGCGGGGCTTCATTCGAGCCAGCCCCGCCCATCGCCGCAGCCGCGCATGCGCCGTGTGCCGTCCGCTTTGGACCCTCCCGCGTGCCGTTCTTACCCGGCCTGCCCCGCGCTGCCGCTTCCGGAAGTGGATCTTGTCTCCTCCCAAGCGGAGCGTTTGTGCCTGAACCTGCCGGGACTGCGACGGCATCGCAGTGCTGCAGAATCCCGGGGGCCAAGGGCGGGCTGCTTGCCGCTATGGCTGGCAGTCAGGATATATTCGATTCCATCGTGATGGCGGATGAGAGGTGGGTGGCGAGGCCAGGCCCGTACCCCGCCCTGTCTGGTCCTCTCCCAGCGGATTCGCCGCCGGCTGAGGCCCAGGGCGGCTGCTGGAGCTTGGCGTCCCTTGGGCGTGCGCATTGGGGAGCGCCTGGTGGTCGTGGACGCAGGACAAGTGTGGGCCTGAGGCTCTGGTCCTTCTCTCCTCGCCCTCTCCGGCGAGGCACGTGCCCAGCTGCAATTCCAGACCCGCCTTCCGTGTCAGGGCTGCCCCAAGCATCTGCTCAGCCTGGTGGTTCCCCTCCTCCGAGGCCGCCCCGTCCTGTGGGAGGACAGACTTTGCCATCTGGGAGCTGCCTCTTTTTCTGGTTCCTTAACCATAGGACATACGGCAGTATTCATGGATGTGCTGATAGATGTGCCCGACCACACCCCTTTCCCTCCAGAGCCCCTGGGGAGCCCCTCGTGCTGCGACAGTGGGGGAACTGTGAGTTGCCTCCTGGCTGACTTCCAGTGCCCGGCCCACAGGACACGTCCATAGATGTTAGTTAAGAAAGCGACCGAACATTTAGCAGTCAGTTGCTGACATTTATTTAGCTCTCGCTGTGAGTCAGACGCAGAGCTAAACGTTCCACCCTGGTTATCTACTTCAGCCCTACTTAGTAAGTGGATCCAATTATTCTTCGGAATTTACAGACTAGGAGGCACAGTCACTTTCCAGGGTCACATAACTGATAAGTGGGGAGCTGTGCAGTCTGCTTCATGGAGTGCTGCAGCCCACTCCTTGTGTCTTTGGTGACTGCAGGTTAAGATAATGCCAGTTCCACTGTTGGGCCTCACGGTCAGTACTACTCCAGGTACCAGTGGGAGTACATTTTGTGGTGATCTGATGCCATTTCTCTCTGTTGTCCTACCAATGTGATGTCAAACCCTGTGTATGTTGCAGTTTTTTGGAAGCAGTTGACTTGGGCTAGTGCTACTTGAACACTCACAGAACTTTGGCCCCCTAACTCTGGCTGCAAACCAGACTTACCTAGGAGACTTCGAAAAGTAGACTCCGGGCCAGGTGCGGTGGCTCACACCTGTAATCCCAGCACTTTGGGATGCTGAGGCGGGCAGATCACCCGAGGTCGGGAGTTTGAGACTAGCCTGACCAACGTGGAGAAACCCCGTCTCTACTAAAAATACAAAATTAGCCGGGCGTGGTGGCGCATGCCTGCACTGTAATCCCAGCTACTCGAGAGGCTGAGGCAGGAGAAATGTTTGAACCTGGGAGGTGAAGGTTGCCATGAGCTGAGATCATACCATTGCACTCCAGCCTGGGCAGCAAGAGCGAAACTCCATCTCAAAAAAAAAAGGCTGGGCGCGATGGCTCATGCCTGTAATCCCAGCACTTTGGGAGGCTGAGGCAGGCGGATCACGAGGTCAGGAGATAGAGACCATCCTGGCTAACATGGTGAAACCCCGTCTCTACTAAAAATACAAAAAATTAGCCGGGCGTGGTGGCAGGGGCCTGTAGTCCCAGTTACTTGGGAGGCTGAGGCAGGAGAGTGTGAACCTGGGAGGCGGAGCTTGCAGTGAGCCTAGATTGCACCACTGCACTACAGCCTGGGCCACAGAGCAAGACTCCATCTCAAAAAAAAATAAAAAAAAGTAGATTCTGGGCCAGGTGTGGTGGCTCACACTTGCAATCCCAAGACTTTGAGAGGCCAAAGCTGGAGAATCGCTTGAGCCCAGGAGTTTGAGGCTATAGTGAGCTGTGATTGTACCACTGTACTCCAGGCAGGGCACAGAGACCCTGTCTCAAAATTAAAAAAAAAAAAAAAAAAACGAAGGAAGAAAGAAAAGTAGATTCCAGGGCCTTGCTCCGGACTTACCGAATCTCTGGGGGTGAGGCTTTTGAGTTAATATCTTTGAATTTTCCTTGTGTGTCTCTAGTACTCTTATCAGGTTTGGGAATCACTGATTTAGCCCTTTGTTGTAGATGAAGAAACTGGGCTACAAGAGGTACAGTGACTTCCAGAGGAGACTAGGAAGTGGTATATCTGGGACCGGAATCTGTGTCTTCTAACTTGAATTTTAGGCTTTTCCTTCTTACTCTGGCTTGTCTTACTGGGTCCGGGTAATATAAGAGAGAAAAATTTTTCTGGAAAAAGTGTTCTTTCTTCTGTTGATTTGATGAAGCTGGAAAAAGTATTCTTTCTTCTGTTGATTTGATGAAGCATGTTTCTTCTTCACAGGTTTCATGGGGAAGGGTATCGGGAAGGCTACGAAGAAGGCAGTAGTTTGGGTGTGATGGAAGGAAGGCAACATGGCACGCTGCATGGAGCCAAAATCGGGTCTGAGGTAAGTGGGAACCCCCATCTGGAGATGAAACCTCTTCATTTACAGTTTATAATTTATTTGGATATTCAATGTGATGGAGTAAGAATGTCAGGCCTTTTAAAATCAACAGTGCCTTGGCGTGGCGGCAGGCGCCTGTAGACCCAGCTACTCCGGATGCTGAGGCAGGAGAATGGCATGAACCCGGGAGGCGGAGCTTGCAGTGAGCCGAGATTGCACCACTGTAGTCCAGCCTGGGTGACAGAGCGAGACTTCGTCTCCAAAAAAAAAAAAAAAAAAAAAAGTCACAGTGCTGGATGGGCACAGTGACTCACACCTGTAATCCCAGCACTTTGGGAGACTGAGGTGGGCGGATCACCTTGAGGTCAGGAGTTGGAGACCAGCCTGACCAACATGGTGAAACCCCGTCTCTACTAAAAATACAGGATTAGCTGGGCGTGGTGGCGCATGCCTGTAATCCCAGCCACTTGGGAGGCTGAGATATGAGACTTGCTTGAACCCAGGAGGCGGAGGTTGCAGTGAGCCAGGATTCGTGCCATTGCACTGCAGCCTGGACAAGAAGAGTGAAACTCCGTGTCCAAAAAACAAACAAACAAAAATCACAGTGCCTTTGTGTGGGAGTTAATGGACTAGATGGACTGTTGCTGGAGAAATACTCTTAGTACAGAACCGAGAGCGCATTTTGCTGTGGGTAGGTATAATTAAGTTATGCAGGCTGGGTAAGATAAAACAAGTCCCTGGTCTCCTCAGTTTATTTTGGAGTGTCGTGGTGCTGGCTCATGTACTAAGCCAGCTGAATCATTGTCCAAAGCATGGGTGCCCTCTGTCATGTGAAAATATTACATTTATGTTTACGTTGAAATTTCATTAACTTTATGGGTTTTTTTTCTCCTCTTGCCCTTTGTCCTAGATTGACCCTTACTTACAGATAAGTGGCCCTTATTGGCAAAGTCTGAGTTGAGGCAGTTATGACTATATTGGATGTTTGATGCTTCGAAACAGATCACCACAAAATGCATGGGGATTAACATAGCAAATATTGATGGTCTCACATGTTTCTGAGGGTTGGGAACTCAGGAGCAGCTTTGCTGGGTGGTCCTGGCTCAGGGTCTCAGCCGGAGCCATGTCACCTGACGGCTTGACTGGGGTTGGAGGATCTGCCTCCAAGGTGGTGCTGTCACCTGACTGTGGGCATGGACGTCTCCATGAGGCTGCTTGTGTGTCCTTGTGACATTCAAGAGTGAGTGGTCCAAGAGAGCTGGTGAGGCAGGTGGCATTGGCGTTTATCCCTAGACTCAGGAGCTTTGTGCTGGGCCTCCACATTCTGTTGGTTACGAAAGCCACCCTGATGGAGTGTCGAGGGACCTGCATAGGGCATGGGTACCAGGAGATGAGGACTGGGGCATCTGGGAGACTGGCTGCCCCACCGATGACCTAATCTCCTAATTTCCATTGCCTAATGCCCAATGGGTACTTCCAGAACAATAGTGTAAGAAGCACTGCTGCCCTTTGCCCCCACCTTTTGTTTTGAGAGATCTTGGTAATGAAAGTGTAGCTAGTTGGCTTATTAATTTCACTCTTACATATTTTTCACATTCACAGATCGGGTGCTACCAGGGTTTTGCTTTTGCATGGAAATGTCTACTGCACAGTTGCACCACTGAGAAGGACAGGTAAAGATGGAGGTGTCTTTCTTTCTTAGTGTAGGAACCAGGAGTTCTAGTTCCATGGGTTACCGACATGCCCTTGAGTAATCAATTTGTCTGTTCCTCATCTGTAAAATGGAGAAAATAATCAGTGTCAAGCTTGAGCGTTGTTAGGAGATTTAATGAAAATACTAAACAGAAAGCGCCAGGCACGTTTTAGGTGTTTGATGAACACTGGCTGTTGTTGCTTCTCACGAGTTCTCTGCTCCTGCCTTTTACCTGGAGTCATTAGGGAACCACGTGGCTTTTAGATACCCTACCAATAAAATAATGTTGACATTGATTGTATTTTCTCGTTCACCTTTCCCCTGAGCTTCTAATAAACAAATTATAACAGTTTTGTATGACTTGGGCCCAGAAATGAGGATGCCATTGTCATCAGTTTTTTAATGTAGCCAACTAAGTCTGTTAACAAGAAAATGCATTTATATGTGTTTAACTCCTTTCTGGAGCTTGTCAACAGTCAATAAATGTTAGCTGTCATTTGAATTGTTTTTAGCTGTTAAAAACTCTTCTCGGCCGGGTGCAGTGGCTTACGCTTATGATCCCAGCACTTTGGGAGGCCGAGGTGGGCAGATCACCAGATCAGGAGTTCGAGACTGGCCTGGCCAGTATAGTGAAACCCTGTCTCTACTAAAAATACAAAAATTAGCCAGGTGTGGTACTGGGTGCCTGTAGTCCCAGCTACTCGGGAGGCTGAGGCTGAAGAATTGCTTGAACCCGGGAGGTGGAGGTTGCAGTGAGCTGAGATCACGCCACTGCACTCCAGCCTGGGCGATGGAGCGAGACTCCTTCTCAAAAACAAACAAACAAAAACTCTTCTTCCTGCATTGTACTTACTGAGGCCCCACGTGGCCCTGCTTTATCTAGCTTCATTCTGGAGCTGGAAATGAACCCTCAGGTAAACGGCAGAGATGGTTTGGATACTCTGCCGTTCATGGGCGGCAGCAAGCGCGGGACCTCAGCTGGTGCTCTGGGTTGTTCTGACACCTCGTGGCCTCGCCTAGCGTGGGGGGGCACAGGGAGAGTGGATAACACTCGCCCTAACCACGTGCCTTGTGCTTTTATTTGAAATATCTGGAATTTCTAGAAATACCTTGAATATCTTGAATATTCAAATGTTTAAGAATGAGGATGCTTGCAGCTAATTTGGTGGTTCTTTCTGCTGCATTTGTAGCAGCGGCTGGGAGTTGATGGGATTCTGGGTTAGTAGAGAGGCACCTGAGGACATTTTCCTCTTGGTTCTCAGGCGGTGGCAGGCAGCTGGGGACCCCAGGGCAGTCGTTGTTGGCAGCCTGTGCCGCCACTGGGTGGCAGTCAAAGCTGAGCTTGGCTCTCGACTCCAGGCCACAAAAGGATGTGTGTGCTTGGCGTTCTCCACCCGTCTCCCGTCTCCCGTCTCCCGTCTCCCACTGCGGCAGAATCTGCCGGCTCCTGGAGAAGTGCTGCGCTGTGTGTCCGTGGTCCCATCCCAGGAGGCTGCCAGCCCTTACCCCAGAGCAGGGGTTTGCTGACGTCTTAACGCAGCACACCCAGTCTAGCTAACAGAGAAGAACCGCTTTGGTTGACGAGGGGCTGGTGGAAGCCCGGCCAGACCCCCCTTGCAGCCACCCTCACCCCGTCCAGTAGTACCCAGAGGTCTCTTTGGAACCTAAGGCTTTATTGTAGAGCAGTGGTTCACGGATATTTGGATCTTATATGTCAGGTTTTGTTTATTTTTTTTAAATGAAGAAGGGCTGATGTTGCATGTTTTACCTGTAAATGTTTCCAAATAAGGATGTTAAGAGAAAAACACCCGCCACTTGCATTGTCATTCAGCAAAATGCTGGGCATGGTAACACCAAAGAAACCATGGAGAGCGGCATCTCGGGCCAAAAGATGGTGCTTTCTGTTGAGTAACTAGCTTTCCAGTAAACTGTGTGGCACTTCTGTCCCCGGCTTTAGCAGTCTGGTGAAACCCTTCTGCAGAGCAGCGCGTGCCGGGGCTGAGCGTGGGGGCTCTGGTGCCATCACTTTTGTTTCGTTAGCCCTGAGCTGCTCACACCTGCCTGATGTGTGCTGCCTCTGACGGTGCGCCCGGCTGGGTGTGTCTGAGCAGCATCGCTGAGCACCGAGGGTGGTCCTCTGCACTGGGTAGCATACAGCCACCTCCCACGTTTTGGCATCTCCCTTTGGTTTCCCTGGAAACCAGGTGCTTTGTTGCTAAAACTGACTTGCTTTGACCTTTCACAGTTTTGTATTTTCTCAGAGAGGTAGCCGTCGTTAGCTCTTGTAAACTGGATGCAGCTGGCGAACTTGCTCTTCTGTGTGTCCAGGAGCACCAGCTGTTTGCACACACACAGGAGTCTTGGTTGCTTTGAATTGCTGTCGATCCATCCTCACCGTCAGTTCTTTAAAATTCCTGTTAATCGAGAATCTTGCCTACTCTGGCCACTCACATGGCCCAATGCGGCACAGGGGCAGCGTGCTTCTGTGGTTCATTGGAAGGACTTGGCCCCACCAGATGTACACACGTGTGGATTATTTTTAAACCCCTGCAGGTGAGAGCCCTGGTCTCTAGGATCCAGAGGAAACCAAGAGACTGACATTTATTGAGCACCTACTCTGTGCTGGAGTCCAAGCTTCATGTCTTTTTTTTTTTTTTTTTTTTTTTTTGAGATGGAGTCTCGCTCTGTCCCCTAGGCTGGAGTACAGTGGCGTAATCTCAGCTCACTGCAGCCTCCACCTCCCGGGTTCCAGAAATTCTCCTGTCTCAGCTTCCCGAGTAGCTGGGACTACAGGCACACACCATCACACCCAGCTAATTTTTGTATTTTTAGTGGAGACGGGGTTTCACCATATTGGTCAGGCTGGTCTTGAACTCCTGACCTCAGGTGATCCACCCTCCTTGGCCTCCCAAAGTGCTGGGATTCCAGGCGTGAGCCACCAGGCCCAGCCCATGTCAGTTATTTAATCCTCTTGGAAGTCTATGAGGTTGCTGTTACTCTCCCCATTTTAAAAAAGATAAACAACAGAAATGAATTTATTACCATCTGGAGACTGGGATGCCCCCCATTTTACAGACGAGGCCAGCAGGGTTGAGAGTGGGTAGGTCGGTGTTGGGGAGCAGTCATGCCCAGGGCTGCTGTCTCCTGAGTGCACACCCTTTCTACAGAACCACCTTGCCTCCCTAGCAAGGCTCTGTCCTTCCTGGGGAGGGGACAGTACTGATTTCCGCTCTTTTGAGGGAGGGATTTGCTGGTTTACTTGCAGCTGAACTCCGGAAGGCTTTGAGCACAAAGATTCCAAATCCTGGAAAATCCCCAGACCCAGAGCAGGCTGCTTGTGCCCAGCCCCAGTCCCTCTTGCCCAGTTCTGTCTGTTTTTGCGTGTGCGACCTCGAGAGTCAGTGGGGCTTCAGGCTGCCTCAGCCACTCAGCCCCATGGTCCGGATGGAGGCATGTCTGTAAGCTAGGCACACACTTACTGTCGAGGTGCTGGGTGTGGGCCTAAGCACGTTGCTAGGTAAATAAATATGATTTCGTGTAATGAGAAAATGATCATCCAGCTTTTGAACGAAGGCATTCTTAGCGCACCTGCTGGGTTTCAGTAAGCAAGCAGCATAGCTGTTGCGTAAGTTGAACCTGGTGTGTGCACATGACTGAGAGTCTGTATTTCTGTGCTTTACAGCCGAAAGATGAAGGTCTTAGAATCATTGATTGGAATGATCCAGAAATTCCCTTATGATGACCCTACTTATGATAAACTCCATGAAGACTTAGACAAAATCAGGGGAAAATTTAAACAGGTGCGTGCACTGTGTGTTTCCTCCTGCTGGGAGCGCCTGACTGTGCCTTTCCCGGGCGGGGCGGCGCACTCCAGGGCCACTGCGGCGATGGCCTGGGGCTGCGTGCGCCGTGGAACTGTCCGTAGAGGCGCCTCGTCCTTGAGTCGCACTGCGGGAAAACCGAAGATGGTCCAGAAAATAGGAGTTAGAACTCACTTATGGGCTGGCCACGTAGACAGGAAAAGCTATCGCTAGAGATAGAATTATCTTCTCGTTTTTCAGTAAAAATACACAAGATTAAAAATACCATCCCTTTTCTTTTGTGTTTTCAGTTTTGTTCATTACTCAACGTTCAGCCAGACTTTAAAATTAGTGCAGAAGGTTCCGGACTTTCATTTTGAGAACGATGGATGAACAGAGACTGAACATCGAGGAACAGATGTGTGTGTGACATGTTTAGAAATGCGGCGAAGGGCCAGACGGTGCTGGGAAGGCCGTCGTTCAGTGGGAGGGTGAGGCTTCCGGTTCGGCCGCGGGAGGGCCTCCTTCCCCGGGGTTTTTTGCCTGTGTCATCTCGGTGCCCGCCGTGGGGCCTCTTCACAATGCCCTTTGTTGGGCTGAAGCCATCCCTGGCAGAGCCCTCGCGTGGCTGCTCCCTGCTGGGCCCACGTGCATTGGCCTGACGGCCTCTTCGGCAGCACAGGCCTGGCTGGCTCTGGCCTGGGGTTGGCTCTGGATAGGGTCAGTCCCCAGGCCTGGACTCAAGGCAGGTTTTTAAATTTTTTTTTGCAATGAGAGAGACAGTTGGCCCTCAACGAGGCTCGTGGGAGGTCTGGACGGGTGCTGTGCCGCATGTCGAAGCCGATTGTGTGCCAGGCCCTGCAGGACGTACGTCTCGTGTTTTATTTAATCCCTTCAGGAGCCCACGGGGTGGGTGTTACTCCCATTTTACAGAGGAAGAAGGTGAGACAAGAAGGGGTTGCATGGTCTGAGGGCAGCCAGCAGCAGAGCTAGGACTTCCGCCCCCAGGCCGTGCCTCACCGCCACCAGGCACAGCCGCCTCTGGAATGCACAGGCCGGCACCTCAGCACTGGGAGTCCCTGCCCTCCCTCCCAGGCCGCATGGGCCCTGCTGAGCCTCGAGGAGCACGGGGGAGTCCGTGGTGGCCAGTTTGCCTGGCCATCTGGCTGAGAGGAAGAAAGGCCAGCCCAATCCTGAGGGGACCCGGACATATCCTTCACACTGTCCCCAGAGGGGCGATGAGCTCTGCAGCATTAAAAAATGGTGAAGGGGGGAAATATTTTGAACCAAAGACCAAATGTTAGGAGGCCGTTATATTTGCAGAAACTGAGAACCGTGTGTACAGGCTGCTGCATTCTCCCCTCTCCTAGGCGCTCTTTTGTCTCTGTCGGTCCTTAACGAGGTGCCATACAGAGACAGTGGGCTGGGCACGGATGAGCGGAGTGGATGGTTCGGTGGGTCCCCACGAGGTGAGTGGTCATATGCGATGACATGTGTTCACGCACCCTCCTGTGTGCACCTCAGGGTCACCGAAGTCCCCGCACGCTGGCTCTCCCCACCCCTCCTGTTCCAGAAAGCATGTCTGAAAGCAGTCCACGGGATTATTAAGGAGTCACCATGAATCCACTTCGGTTTTAAAACCATTCCTGAATGTCCTAGTGGATTGTGCTGTGCTGCCTAAGCTGCTGGCTGCAAGAGCCAGAGCAGGGACTCCCTCAGGAGCAGCAGCAGGCGGGCCTCCACGGTGGCGGGCGGGCCTCCACGGCAGCAGGGGGACCTCCACGGCGGCGGGCGGGCCTCCACGGCGGCAGGGGGACCTCCACGGCGGCTCGGGAGGAGAGAGAGCGCTGCTTTGTTTTTGTTTCAGTTTTTCGTTTGAGACAGAGTCTCACTCTTTCACCCAGGCTGGGATGTAGTGGCGCGATCTCGGCTCACTGTAACCTCCACCTCCTGAATTCAAGCGATTCTCCTGCCTCAGCCTCCCTGGTAGCTGGGATTACAGGTGCCCGCCACCACGCCCAAGTAACTTTTATATTTTTAGTAGAGATGGGGTTTTGCCATGTTGGCCAGGCTGGTCTTGAACTCCTAGCCTGAAATGATCCACCCACCTCCACCTACCGAAGTGCTGGAATTGCAGGCATGAGCCTCCACTCCCAGCCTGCTTTTTCTTTTTGAAGACAAGACTTAGGTCTCCTCCTCCTGAACTGTAAACCTGTGTGTGGCTGTGCACCCCTCGTTTGTGGCCTCACCTCAGGTCTGGGGAAGTCTGCGTTGGGCATCGCCCCGTTGTGCCTTCATCAGAGCTGGTGCCTCCGGGCAGAAAGATTTCCATTCTTTCTAGATGGCAGGATCAGGGGCCTTTGTTGTGTTTCCCTTGGTGGATTTTTGTGTTTTGTAAGTTGTCTGTTTTGATAATGTATTATTTTTATAATTGGAAAAAAGTAAATAGCATATTTTAAAGTGAAAGTTTGTCTGGGACCGTTTATAACAGCATCGTTCATAACACAGCATCGTGTATAACACAGCATCGTTTATAACACAGCGTCACCTGTAACACAGTGTCATTATAAAACAGTGTCACGTATGACACAGCATCATTTATAGCACAACATCCAGCCAGTTTGTTTCTTCCTCCAGGGCATTTCGGATCTGGATATGAAGGAAGACATGTGCCCTAGATTTCTGCCAGCTCGTCTCCTTAACCCAGCGTAGACACAGCCGCTGCGAGAGTGGTTCCGTTGTGTTGGGGACTGGTCAGCTCCTGCTCACCTGGCCCAGCTCTTACTCATCCACCCTCTCCGAGACATCTCTATCCCCGCTGTCCCCGACCTTCTCTCCCCTCCTCTTTTTTTTTTTCTTCTCCCATCTCTGTCTCCTGTTCTCTCTCCCTACTCCCTGCCTGCCTCTTCGACACAGCTGGCTGAGCAGCAGACTGCCGCTTCCTCCTCTGGTTTGCCTCACAGGGAGCCAGGACTGCCTCATCTTCAAGATTCTCACACACTGTGCTGGCCTGTGCCTGCCTGGCCCCTTTCTAGAGGACGAGACCCAGTTTCCAGGATCCCTTGGTCACCCCCGACACTGTGGTACAGACAAAGCCCACTGTAACAGGTGCTTCCATCCTATCCAGGCAACGCCATCCTCAGCCTCTACCCTGGGAATGAGCATGTCTGTGTCTTCTCTTCTGCTAATGAGGTGTTAGTAGAGGGTTGACCAGTCCCCAGCACAGTGGGCCCACTCTTAGAATGACTGTATGTCTCTGCTGGGTTAAGGAGATGAGTTGGCAGAAGGTCCTGCGGGGATCTGGGAAAGGTTACGTCATTCCAAAGAAAAGGTGCTGGTGCTATTTTGAACATCATCCTGTTGGGATGTGACAGCTAGAACTGCTCCAGTCATCTTGCAAGCTGGCTACAGCTGAAGCCACCCCGAGCCTGGCAGAGCGAAGAGCTAGGAAGAACCTGAGTCCTCGATACCACCGCGTGCTGTTCCCAGCAGCCCTGAGCCACCTTGCTCGCACCTGTAGGCGCTGCCCATCCCCGTCGTGGAAGGCCGTGGCCCTGGGTTTCCGTTGTTTGCGGACAAAGGCTGCTTGTTGCCTTCCCCATCCCCATCAGGCCCATCCCATCCCGCTAATTCTGGATGTCAGCCTTTGTCCAGAGTGGCCTTGAGTTTGGGAGCTCCTGGGGTTGGATTACATCCCTTGTGGTTGGTTTCCCAAGGCTTTGGCCTGCCCCTTCCTTCCTGTCGGAAGCTCCCAGCGTGTTGTCTGCCGCTGTCTCAGCTCGGGCTGCCACCACGGCACCCCTGATGGGTGACTTCAACAGCGGTCCACCTTCCCTTCGTTCTGGAGGCTGGAGTCCGAGATCAAGCGTCACAGGGCTGCTCCCTCCTGAGGCCTCTCTCCTTGCCTTGCAGACAACTGCCTTCCCCCCATGTCCTCACGTGGTCGTTCCTCTGTGTGTGTCCTCATCTCTTATAAGGACCCCAGTCAGATTGCATTCGGGCCCACCCTTCCAGCCTCATCTGAACTTAGTTACATGTTAAAGACCTCACTCTTCACACAGTCACATTCTGAGGCGCTGGGGGTTAAGGCTTCCACATGAGTCTTGTGGGGACACAGTTTAGTCCCTAACAGGACCCAGCTGTGGCTGCTGGATAGACTGTTGAATTGGGACTCGGGAGAAAATAAAGCCATTTCATGTAAAAGTTGAAGTTACTTCAGTTAGTTTTTCTAGAATGTTAACAGCTAGGCACAAGCAAGAGTAGTCAGTCCTCCACTGAACTCTCCACTTTGGAATCACCTGTCAGAGTCACTGGATGGCCAAAGGGAACTGCCCAAGGGCCACTCAGCGGTCCTAAAACACGACCACCTTTCACTTTATTTTCCATTCACCCCTTGACATTTTTTCTCTAACCAGTGGCAAGAAAAGAATGAGGAGATAGGAAGAAGGGACGAGAGGCCTATTTGCTCGTTGGCTACTGCTGGCCCGCCCTTTACCGGGATTATCCACCAGTGCTGGAGGCAGGGCTACCACCCTCGCTTTGCAGAGATACTGAGGACAAGTCCAGTGGTCACAGTAAGTGGCCAACTTAAGGCTTGATGGGGCACAGCAGGGCTTGAGCAGGTTGCTTGAATGATTCGCTTCCTGAGGCCATTGCTTTCTGAGAATTTGCAGCCTGTCTTCAGGACCAGTCTTGCATCTGGCACAGCAGTCCCCAGCCTTTTTGACACCAGGGACTGGTTTTGTGGAAAACAGTTTTTCCATGGCCAGGGCTTGGGGGTGGGGATGGCTTGGGGATGAAACTGTTCCACCTCAGATCATCAGGCATTAGATTCTCATAAGGAGCACGCCCCTTAGATCCCTCACGTGCACAGTTCACAATGGGGTTCCCGCTCCTATGAGAATCTAACGCCTCTGCTGATCTAACGGGAGGTGGAGCTCAGGCAGTAATGTTCTCTCGTCTGCTGCTCACCTCCTGCTGTGCGGCCCGGTACCTACCGGGTCATGGACTGGTGCCGGTCCACGGCCTGAGGATGGGGGACCCCGATCTAGCAGATTGAGGCCAGATTGAGGCAAAAGCAGCTGGATTTATGGAAAAGGACCCATGCCGGCTGCCTGTAGGAGAGGCAGTGCCTGGATGGGTCCTTAGCTGCCCCAGACCCTGTGAGCAGGTCTCACCTAGGGAGGCCCCTGGCACTTTGGGAGCCCAGGGGAGAGGAGGGAGTGAGAGGGTGGGCACAGGAGGAGATGACCTTCATACCGAGCTTTGCGAGCGTTCATCTGGCCTTACAACGCCGCAGGAAAGTCTCTCCCACTCCACCTGAAAACACCAGTGTAATCTGGAGACACCAAAAAGGGTAATTAACATGCAAGTTTATCCTAATTCCCACAGTTATCCTGATCCTTAATGAATCAAATGAGGAACTGGTTTGTGACTCAGTAAACTGAAGTCACAGAGTTCTTACGATCTGAGAAAAATGGGTCACTGTGTTTGGTGCTTCACAGGACACGGGGCCTGCAGGCGAGGAGCCAGGCCTCAAGGGTTCAGCGAGTTGTCCAAGCCAGCGTGACTAGGGTTCAGCTGGGATCTCTCAGATTAACTTCCAAGAAGGAAAGTCACTCCTTGCTCATACACTTTTTCATAACTCTCCTTGGCTGGTAAACTCAGGTGGCATCGAGGCCTTGGCATCTGCCCCTTGGTGACCCGCATCAGGATAGCGCCTTGGCTGTGTCTCCTCCCTGGCACCCTTTACCAGAGCAGCTGGGCCTTGGGTTGCAGGGATGGAAGCCTCTATCTCGGGCGACACCTGAACGTGTAGAGTATGTGGTGCTTGCTGAGCTAGAGGCTCACGGATTGGTGTCCCTCTGCTGGTTCCAGTGAGTATGTGCCTCTGAAATTCGAGGGGACTGTGGAGCCTGCTTCCAGGCTTTGAGAGCCCAAGTCTGTTGCAAATTGAATGTATTCACAAAAAGGAACGTTGAAGTCCTAGCCTCTGGTACCTGCAACTTCATTTGGAAATACGAAATGGGGTCTTTGTAGATTTTTTTAAGATGTGAATGGGGCCAGGCGCAGTGACTCACACCTGTAATCCCAGCACTTTGGGAGGCTGAGGTGGGTGGATCACGAGGTCAGGAGTGGCCAACAGAGTGAAATCTGTTGAGGTCAGGAGTGGCCAACACGAGACCAGCCTGGCCAACAGAGTGAAATCCTGTCTCTACTAAAAATAAAAATAAAACCAAATTAGCCAGGCATGATGGCGGTGCCTATATTTCTTTTTTTCTTTTTTTTTTTTTTAATTGTACTTTATGTTCTAGGGTACATGTGCACAACGTGCAGGTTTGTTACATACGTATACATGTGCCATGTTGGTGTGCTGCACCCATTAACTCGTCATTTACATTAGGTATATCTCCTAATGCAATCCCTCCCATCGGCAGTGCCTGTATTTCTGAGCTACTCGGGAGGCTGAGTGAGGCTAAATCACTTGAACCCGGGAGGCAGGGCTTGCAGTGAGCCGAGATTGCCTCACTGCACTCCAGCTGGGGCAATAGAGTGAGACTTTGTCTCCAAAAAAAAAAAAAAAAAAAAGATGTAAGTTAAGGTGAGGTCTTACTAGAGTAGGGTGGCCCCTTCGTCCAATATGACTGGTGTCCTTTGAAGGAGAGGGGAGCCGGCAGCCCAGAGAGACTGCCACGTGAAGACACGGAGCTGATGGCCCTGTGAGGACGGAGGCCGAGTTTGGAGCTGCGTGTGGACCAGCTTACAAGAGCTGAAGGTCGTCCGAGGCGACCAGAAGCTGGGGGAGAGCGGGTACGGCAGACACTGCTGGCCTCTGGAACTCTGAGAGAAATGTTGGTTGTTGTTTTGTGAAAATGCATTGTAGCAGCCACAGAAAACGACAAGGCCCCTCTCCCGGCCTGGGCTTTCGTTTGCTGGTCTGGAGGGTAAGGGTGCCGGCCGCACCATCCAGACACTTCCCGCCTTGCACGCGGGGCCTCCTCAGGGGTTTGCCTTGACTCCCCCGGTCTCAGCCGTCACTGAGGGCAAGTGGCGGGAGCCCCTGAAAAGTGCTGTCGCTGCAAGGCTCCCTCCCTGAGAGGCCTCTGCCTTCTGGGAGGTGCAGCTGCCCTGCACAGAGGACTGAGGCAGGGTCCACCAGAGAAGGCTGGCTCGATCCTCTCCCCTGGTCTCAGCCCCTGTGGGCACTATCCGGCCTCGGAACTGGGGAGGTGGATGTGGTCAGGCCTTTCCTCCAAGTCAGTTTGGTCACACATGTGCTCTGTTACACTCAGAGTGTTACACACAGAGGGGTCTGTCCCTTCAGACAGCAGTTCTAGGCATACCTCTGGGCACTGGTGGCCCCAAGAGGAGTCATTCCCTGACCCTGTGGAACTCCCAGCTAAGCAAGACAGGCATGTTGAAATTCTAAGATCACATGGTAACTCTGTCAGTCGCTCCTGTTGTTTATGTCAGTCATACACGTTAGATCTAGAAGAGGTAGAAAACACAAGCGGCCGGGTGCAGTGGCTCACACCTGTAATCCCAGCACTTTGGGAGGCCGAGGTGGGCGAATCACAAGGTCAGGAGATCGAGACCATCCTGGCTAACACGGTGAAACCCCGTCTCTACTAAAATACAAAAAATTAGCCAGGCGTGGTGGTGGGCACCTGTAGTGCCAGCTACTCAGGAGGCTGAGGCAGGAGAATGGCGTGAACCCAGGAGGCGGAGCTTCCAGTGAGCCGAGATTGCGCCACTGTACTCCAGCCTGGGCGAGAGCAAGACTCTGTCTCAAAAAAAAAAAAAGAAAAGAAAAGAAAAGAAAACACAAGGTGTAGTAGTTAAGGGTCTTTGAAAACCAAATGACACAGTGCCCATATCCAACTGACTTAATAAAGGACAATGATTGGCTCCTGGAACAAAAGGGGGATGGCTTCAGGAGGGGCTTGATCCAGCAGTTTGTCTGGAGACCCGTTACCCATTATCTGCTTTCCCTCAGGCTGGCCTTGTGCTCAGGCTCCCCTGTGAGGCTCTGGGAGCAGCTCAGTCTTCCCTTGGGGCTGCAGAGGGGCAGTGCCACCCCTGGGCTCGTGTTCCCCTGCTGGGAATCCTAAGGAAGAGGGGGAAGCATTCTCTTTTTCAGAAGCCCCAGAAAATGTCTCCTCAAGACTCAGTGGCTCTATTTGATTTCTCCCCCATCCATTAACTTGCTGCTCTTCTGGTGGGCATGGATGTGCGGTTGGATTTCAGCCTATCAGGGCCTGGCCTGGAGCTGGGGATGGGGTCAGTCCCATTCAAGTCACAGATCTGGGAATGGTGGTTCTCCTGGAGCAACATCTGGGTGCTGTCAACACCAGGAGGGGGCATCCATGGTGGCAAGAAAACCCAGAACTGTCCACTGAATGGGCCAAAGGAGGGAATTAAGATCAGCCTTGGTGCCACCACCCGTGGCCACCGTGGCACGGGGGCCTGTGCTTCCAGACCTGGGTGGTGCGTGGAATGGTGATGGTGACTATGCGGATGCTCCAAGGGGATGACGGCGTTCCCTGAGTGATCACTGCGCCCCAAGCTCGGTGCTCAGCACTGCTCAATACACATTGAGCCATTGAATCCTCAGTACCCCAGACAGAGTTCAGTTATTGGACAGAGATTTACGGAGCCCCTGTTCTGTGCTGGTCATTGGCATGGGTAGGAGATGGAGACGACTCCCCATCATGGGCTGTGTTCTTGCAGGCTTTCCCCATGTTACAGGTGTGAACACTGAGGCCCAGAGAAATGAGGCCACACAGCTGGAATGTTGCAGATCTGAGATCCAACCCCAGGGCCTTTTACTCCAAAACGTGTGTGCTTAATGTGTGTCTATACATGCTGGCGAGTTTTCTTTTTAAACAGCTGATCGCCCTCAGATGTCCACCGCTGGCCTGTTTGGCTGCCCTTCTCCAGGCCAGCAGCCAAGACACAGTGCTGCCCGCAGGGGCGACCGACTGGGAGCCTTGAAACAGGTGGAGCTGGCGAAGCAGGGCCCTGAGCTGTGTGCATGGGGCCTGGCTGCAAATGGCCCAATGAAGGCTCCATGCATTTCCATTTTTGAAGCTTGAGCCCTTTCTTCTCCATGAGGCTGACCCACTAGGCTGGCTTGGTCACATACTAGCTGTGCGGTCCTAGCTTAGTTACTTTACCTCTCTGGGCCTCAGTTTACTCATCTGCAACGGGTCGGCAAACTACTACCCTCGCCCGAATCCAGTCCGTTGCCTATTTTTGTAAATAAAGCTTTATTGGCACACAACCATGCTCACTCATTCACAGAGCGGCTGCAGCTGCTTTTGCACAGGGCAAGAGACCCTGTGGCCCGCAAAGCCTGAAGCCCCTCGATGTGGCCCTCTCCGGAAAACCTGCCAATCCCTGACCTAGCAGATGGGATGATTGTGTGCGGGAGAGTGTAGGCTCAGAGAGGGCAGGGCTGTGTCTGTGGCTCTCACCAGAGTGTCCCCTCCCTGTCACCAACCCATGGGGTCGTTGCAAGACTCGGAGAGAAACTGTGTTCAGTGTCAAACACAAGGCACACAGTACGTGCTCAGTAACCTCTAGCTTTGGTTCCTCCTGTGATTAAACAAAGGCAAGGAGGACTGCCCCGACAGGCTCAGAGGGCCCAGGGTCTGGAATAGGAGCTGATCCTCGGGTTAGACCACTCGGCTCTTAAAGTGGCTGCCGGTTGAGAGGCTTGTCTCAGCTGCCGCTAGGTGCAAATTAAAAGGATTAATGGACACCGCCGTCTTTGAAAGGCTCAAGGCCCACCGAAGCCCCTTCAGCAGAGGGCTCTGCATTCTCTCTTCCCCAGTCCTCCTTGTGTGCCCCCGTGAGTGGCGGTGACAATGCTCCCGGATGTGGGCCCCAAGGCCAGCGGCCCCGGAGCTGCCCGCCCACCCGTCCGCCAGCTATTGTCTGCTCCGGCCTGGCGGTGTGGCGCTGGGCTTGTGGGGCCCCAGCGGGCAGGGGACTGTGGGAACGGATTAGAGGTCCTGGGCTTGCTTTCCTCGTCTTGCATAAACTCTTGATCAAAGACATTCCTGGGATGACAGAGCCCTGTGAGCTGCGAGGCTGGCCCAGCGTGCGGGACGCACACCCCATGCTGCAGCCCCTGCACAGGCCTGCCCTTGCTGGCCCTCGCTGGCCCTGGCTGCAGTGCTGACTCTGGGGACTAGCCTTGTGGTGGGACTGGTGATGGAGCGGATGCCAGGAGGCAACACAGCCTTCCCCACCAGATTCAGAGGCCAGGCCCTCGATGCTGGGCAGAGCCAGGCTGTGACTCTGCTTCCTGGGGTGCTTCAAGGAGGGTCACGCTGCATGCGGGGTGGCTGGAGGGAGTGCCAGCTGCATGCCACTGCCGCTGGGCCTGGCTTCTCTGGACTCCCACGGGCACTGCCCCATCCTCTGCAACAGCCCTGCCCACTGTTATCCCACAAGCACGGTCGGAAGTCTGCATGCCCGCTCTGTCCAGCCTCCGTCCTCTGTCCCCTCGGGGACTTTCACTCCTCATGACAACTCTAGGTGTTGTCTGGGCCCCTGGGGAATCCCCGGCCCTTCCAGCCATGGAGTCAGCTCCCGGCACGCGGATTAGGCTGGACCTATGGATCTGCAACTCAGCCTGGCAGCTTGGGGCTGCCCTGTGGGAGCCGACACGACCTCCCTTCCATTTGGCCCCCTTCCTAGGACCCACTGTTTGCCAGGGTGGGGAGAAGGGAGGCAGAGAGGAATCAGGGAGATTTCCATCCTGGAGGGACTCAGCCGGAGCAGGAAGGTGCCCAGGTATGACAATCCCAGACTCCCAGAGCCACCTGCCTGGTGTGGGGTGGGGAAGCCTCCAGAGAGCCCGTCCTCACAGTGAGTGCAGAGATGAAGGGTCCTGTGGACCAAGGCGGTGGGCCAAGCACAGAACAGGAAGCTTGATTCTGTCTGGTGTGTCAGGAGCTCCTGGGCAAAGACATTGAGCTTATTGGGGCTCAAGGCTGGGTAGAGATGGGGCTGAGTCCCAAGGACCTTGGACGGAGCTGAAGGGAGATAGGAAGGCCGGGGGTTGGGGGCAGAAGATGAAGAATGGATGAGGACTGTCTGCCTGCAGGGACAGGGGCCAGGAGGCAGGGCAGGGCCCCTCGTGAGCGGGTAGGGGTGCTGGGGCACCTGAGAACAGGCTTCTGAGAAGGGGCTGCAGGGAGAGCTGACTGCGGAAGTCGTTGTCTCTGAACTTCCTCAAAGGTCAGTTTTTTACCGTCACCCTCTGGGCAGCGCAGATACTCCAACAATGGACGAGGTCTTCACTGCGTCCCAGGAGGGGTCACAGGCCCCAAAGTGATGTCAGTGGAGTCTGAGAGTTGGGAACAAGGGCCCGGAGTAGCCAGACCACACCTTTGATATGGTTTGGCTGTGTCCCCACCCAAATCTCATCTCGAATTGTAGCTCCCATAATTCCCACATGTGTCGGAGGGACTCCGAGGGGAGATAATTGAATCATAGGGGCAGTTCCCCCCATACTGTTCCCATGGCAGTGAGTAAGTCTCATGAGCGCTGATGGTTTTATAGGGGTTTCCCCTTTCATTTGGCTCTCATTCTCTCTTGCCTGCCTCCATGTAAGATGTGCCTTTCGCCTTCTGCCATGATTGTGAGGCCTATCCAGCTACGTAGAACTGTGAGCCTATTAAACCTCTTTTTCTTTATAAATTACTCAGTCTCGGGTATGTCTTTGTTAGCAGCATGAAAACAGACTAATATAGCCTTGGAGCTCGTGGCATGACCACGATGTATAGACCTACCCTTCACTGGGGGGGTGTACAGACCCCCCCATCGTGGCACAGCCAGGGGTGGAAGGTGTATAGACCCCCCCATCGTGGCACAGCCAGGGGTGGGGGGATCAGGGGATGTACAGATCCCCCCATCGTGGCACAGCCAGGGGTGGGGGGTGTACAGACCCCACCATCAAGGGGATGCCACAGATGCCGAGACAGAGAGACTGGGCTGTGGGGGAGCTCACAACCGCTTCACTCTGGGCCCGAGCCCTCTCTACACACTTGGCTGTGAACACACCTGACCCACTCAGGGCCCCTGCCCTGCCCTGCCAGCCTGGCTGAGCCCCGCGCTCGGCAAAGTGGCTCTCCAGCTTCTTCCCCACATCTTTGCTCAAACCTAACAGGGTCCGATGGCTACCTTGCCTGCTCCGTGAAACAACCAAAGGTGCGCGATGGTTGGAACTCTCTGCACAGGCCTTCTGCTACACCCATGTGCTCTCGGGGGATGAATGTAAACCCAGCTGCAGGCTGGGGGCGGGGGCATGGCTTCCCTAGGACCCCAGCCCTGACACAGGACCTGGCTCTTGCCCAGAACTGAACAGCTACAATAGTGCAGACCTGGTCCCTGCCTTCAGAGTAATTTGCCCAAGGAGCAAGGAGCTGGGCCTTGTAAGCCACCTGAGTGGCCACCAGTGTCACCTCTGGCTCCGACGGTCCCTTGAGCTCTTGCTGAGGTGACCTGTCAGGGGCACCCTGCAGACTCCCCCACCGACTCAACATGGGACTCCCTTGGGGAAGGCTCCCGGAGCCCCCACCCTCAGGGCAGAGGCTGGTGGAGACCTATAGGGGCTGAGTGTTTCCCTCCATACCCCACCTTCCTCCTAGGGCAGGTGCCTGTGGAGCCAACACACCGACCACCCTGGCCCCACTTTCCGCCCTGGGAGGAGTGCTCTACAAGGCAGGAAGGGTAGACAGCAGGTGCTTCATAAAGGCCAGAGATTTGACCTACAGCTGACAAGTAGTAACCATCAGTGACGTGGGACCTGAGCTTCCACTTAGCTTGGGGTAAGGACAGACCAACCTCACAGATGGGTCCAGGAGCAGTGACCAAGGTCCGCGGACACCTTCCCAGGGAACTCCCACTACCCACCTCCACCCCGGGGTTTGAAGTTAGGTTCAGTCACGTGCACCTGAAATCCAGAGGTGGATGTCACGGGCATCCTATAAGGCAGCCTCCAGGTCTCCACAATCCCAGTGAAAGGCCACCCTGGATCACAGCCCTGACACGGTGCTTTGCTCTCCTGGAGCCTGGCGTTGCCAAAGGGTCATGATTCATCCAGAACAAACAGCAGTTTGTGCCAGAAGGGGGTTAACAAATGCCGGCTTTATTTATTTTCCTATCTGCAAATAACCTGAGAAGACAAACTGGTGGGGCAAGCAAGGGATGGAAGATGTTCCCAATCAATGGGCACCACTCACGTCACCCAGGCTGGAGCTGTTGTCTCGCGTGGTTGGAGGTGGGCTCACCCAGCCAGGCTGCCTGCAAACTATTCTTTGGAGCCTCCCCGGGACAGGAGTCCCCCTCCCACCTCACACCCCTGTGCTCAGGGCTTCCTCCCAGTTGGGAAGGGTGTGCCTGCTCCTGGCTGGATTCTGTCCCCACCCCCGGGGATGTGGCAGTGTCAGGAGACATTCTTGGTTGTCACAGCGGGTGGCGTGACTGTCATCCTGTGGGTGGAGGTCAGGATGCCGCTGAACTTCCCGCAGTGCACAGGACAGGCTGTGGCCTCCCGCATCTGCCGAGCCTGCCACCCTGCCCTGGTTCTGGGGCACCAGGACACGCGCCCCTGGCTCCCGGCCAGCCCAGGAAGCAAACAGGCGGGCACCATGCTGGGGTTTTACCAGTTTTATTTCTAGACTTTCACGTTTGTCTTTTTGTCTTCTGCTGGAAACATGCCGGTTACATGTTGGTGCTGGGAAGCGCCGCGGTGCAACCAGAAACACACGGACCCAGCCGCCCGCCGCCCAGACCCTCAGACTTGCGCGTCACAGGACAGACTCCACTGTGCCCCGTGCACTTGCCACCAGCCTTTGGCCTCTCGATACACACAACATCCAGGACTTGTGCCCTTGCCCCATCACGACAGACAAAGCGTCCCTCAAGGCCCCCGCGTGGTTCAGACAGACGCCGCAGCCAGGATGGTTGAGGTAAGCGTGAGCCGTGTTCTGGAGGGGTGGGGCGGGACGGGCCTGTGCCCACGATGGCCTCTGAGCACAGGATGACCCTGCCAGGGCAGGGCCCCAGCCACGCGGGCCCGCAGTGGGGTGCAAATTCTTTTGGTTCGGCAGCTTGCTAGGTGACCCGGGCACATAGCACTGTGAGCTGGCTTCATTGAGATTTGGAGTCTCTTTAAATTAGCATTATGCTGTAATTAACAAAACAATAACAAACAGAACACTAGTACATAACAGATTAAACATACCCAAAACTTGAACAAATTCCAGA